GTGTGGATAATAGTGCTGATTAGATATATATATATATTAACTCAAGTCGTGATATATTAAATAAATAAAATTTATATGAAAATATCTTGAAATATAATTATATTTAAAGATAAAAAGTGGTGATATATTGTTATCTGATATTTTGGTCAATGTTAGTCGTCTCACATTTCTTTTCAAAAAACGACAAACAATAATACTTTCGTCAAACAAGTATGTTTGTGTTGACTTTGACTCTTTTTGTTTTCCAAATAATTAGGAAACTGTATAAAGTTTTTTTTTTTCTTCAAATTCCACCAACGCTCGAATAAATATAGATCGTATATTATATCATTTTCATGTAAGTCATAATATATATTTTTTGTTAATAACAAACTTTGATTATACTTCTTTTAATGTAGAATACTAAAATTTTGCCATGTATTTTGTTTAATTTTTTCACCAAAATTCATAGATTCTCATCTAATTTCCATATAACTTCGCTATGAATGATTCTATAATATTGGTTTTATTTATTTATTTGACCATCTATATAATTTTTTAGATTGGAATATCCATTTTTTTTTCTCCATATAAAAAGGTGTCTACAATATTTTAAAACTTAATTATAAAACGCCTCCCATATAGAAAGTCAAACTCGCTTTGAAGCCTCCCAAGTGCCACGATCACTAGCAGATTTTGCCGTCCAAGAGATGTTAAGGTTACGGCCTGTCATTTGTAGCTCGTCACCAACCAACCATCACAAACAATCCAAGCCGTTCATCTGTTTTTGGCCCAGAATATGCCACGTTCCGTGATCCTAGCACAGGAAGTAGCGTGCACTTGGTTGCAGTGGATCCGGAAGATCGAAAGATTCTAGAAACAGGAGAAAAAAAAAAATCAAAGTCTTAAAAAACTGCCACGCGTTGTTGTGGGCCACACTTTCCAAATCACCTAATGGTCTTTTAAAGCGTATTGACATTTTGATCGTTGTAGAAATAAATAAAATAACTTAAATAAGCTCATGAAACCGGCCCGAAATTTATAATTTTTATATTCATTTACTATTAATTTATTCCATCTCAAAAACCTAACTTTATAAAAGAAACAAATATAACTTAACAAAAAAATTTAAAAAAAATTATGAAATCAGATTTTAATACGTTGTACAACAAATTAGCTTGTATTTGAAGTTATTTTAGATGTATAATTTCTTTGAAACTTTGATGTATATAAAAAGTCCAAAAACTTTAAATAAGTTTTGAAGACGTGGCAACAATTATATCGAAAAATCCAACTACTCAACTATATTAATTTATACTTTCGTGGTGTAGAATTTCTCAATATTAAACATATTTAAAAGTGATTAGTTAATTTAATTAATGACTATATAAATGATGGCAACAAAAGATAAACCAAAGTTATTATATAAAACTAAATTGTTTTCGTGGTATCAAATTCGAATTCTTATATAATCGAAGAAAACTATGTGAAATGGTTTTTGTATTTCTTGTTTTAATTTGGTTTTATTTTCACAAAAACCAAAAACAAATGTGAAAACTTTCCTTTTCAAAATCAAAAAAGATAACTGATTGAAAACTTTCCTTTTCATCCTTTATGTGCTTCAAAATAAATTGAAAACTATAATAGAAAAACAATGCATTTGATTTTTTGTTTTAGAATTAAAATTAAGCAAAAGATATTTTGTATTGTAGATTGGTTCCCGTTCAATTAATTTTATTTTAAAACAACATAATTTTATTTTTACTTAAATTTTGTTTATTTTATATTGATTTTAAAATTTAATCAGTTTAATTTTAAAAATATAACCAAGTTTTAATTAAATTAAATTTGAATATAAAAATATATTATTTAATTCCAATTTTATTTCAAAGTTTAAAATAGCCTTATAAATAAGTTTTTCTACAGTTATAATTAAATTAAAATTCTATAATTGGGAGAGGAACAGATCAAATACAAATATCCGTTAATATTTGTGTGAATAATATATTAAATAAAGATATCTAATGTGACATATTAACAACTAGTGAATACCAATTAACAAATTTCTATTTCCACAAGCAATTTTTTTTTTCTCAAAGTTTTTAAAACGGGTTAGGTATAGAATTAGTCCTCTCCTCTGTATCGTCAAGTGAACAGGACAGGCAATGAAATCTCACGCCACTGAAAAAAAAAACATTACAAAAAAAAAATATATTGTTCTCTTTTTTTTGCTTCTAAAATCTTTATATTTTGTCATTTTTTTTCCAGTAATGTTTTAAATAATTAATTTTAATTTGTCAGTTTCAGATGAGAGAGTTCCTGTAATCCACCGGTCATTCTTTTATATATCTATATCTGTGTATATATATTTGCCGTCGTTGAAGATCACAACCATCAGCTTCTTCATGTGACGCAGTTGATCCCTCTGATTCTCTCTTCTCCCTCTCTCACCGATCACGGAGTTCATGTCGCCGAGCAAGTTCAATTCCAGTGTATTTCTCTCTCTCCCTTCGCTTTTTGATTCCATACATGGTTCTGTTATTGATTAGTGTCTGACCGTGATTTCATGTATTGTTGCTCCTTCCCCAGATTTGAATTCGCTTATTTTGTCTTCAATTTCGTGTTTTTTTTGCGATTTGGCGAGTTGGGTTTCCTCCTCCTCCTTCGATTGAAACGTTTCGTGATTGGTTATGGAGTTTTTTGTTTTTGAAATCGACTCCAATGCGTCTTGAGAGCTTGGAATTGAGAATGTGAAAACCCAAGTAAGGTGATCGGTGATCTCAATTTAGCTGGAAATCTTGTTGGTAGTGATGAAGTTCCACTTATCTGGGTTACGTTTCGGGCTATCGATCAATCTCTTACGATCTTCTGTTCTGTTCGCTCCACTGTGTTTGTCTGAATCAGAAAGTCTCTGATGTCGGGTTTTCATGTCAGGATTCCTTTGTCAATGGGGATGCAAGCCATTCGTGCTCGAACCTGGAGAATGGTTTCAGCGACTTGTCTCTGCTAACGCATTCCGAGAAGGCAGTGCAAGAGCTTCTTATTCAACAGACTCCTATTCAAGCAACCGACGACCATCTCATCGAATTTTCAGAGGCTTTGAGAAGTAAGCTTGCATTTTGTAAAACGAAGTTGAATGCTTTCATTGGTTTTCTTCTTTGCATTTTTTGCATGGGTTTTCTTCTATGTAGTTGGGCTAAGTCTTGATTTCTACTGTCCTTTTAGCTGTTGCTAAGACACTGAGGCGTGCTGCTGAAGGAAAGGCTTTAGCACAAGCCGAGGCTGCTGAATGGAAGCGGCGATATGAGTTGGAGAAGTCGAGGAATCAAGAACCTCAGCAGAAAGGTTCTCTATTAACTTAAATTTATCAGTTTATTTTCTGTAGAAAAACCCTTTAGGTGTGTCTATGCGCTCTTGTGTGCTTGCTAAAACTATCCATCTCTGCAGGCTCTTATTTTCCTGCTTCTCTGTCTTTATCATATGATGGCTTCCTTCTGGAAGCATCAGAAGCAAATGTCACCAGATTTCTTATGTTTTGTTGTGTTGCAGCTTGTGTTACATGAACCAGTTGCAACATCTTCTCAGTTTCTTTGAATTTGTTACCTAAATTGAGCCGTTGAAATCTTTTGCTACTTGTCCTTTCAAATGCTTCTCTGAAATGGGTTACTAATCTTGCTAAACTTGGATCGTTCATTTAGTGTTGAGCCAGAAATTAACTGACCCATACTTGCTAACATAAGGTTATCAGCTAATCCACTTCCCAGGGGAATGGATTATGTCAAATGCTTCAGGTTGAATGGAACGAAATCCTTTTCTTTTCGTTCTTTTTTTTTTTGTATCCCAGAGGGAATCGCAAGCATTGTGCTTCTATGTCACATCTAATAGGATGTTTCAAAGGAACCCGTTTGTGGAGCAAGAACATCGAAAGGAGTGTTGTCTTAGATTATGTGGGACTACCTACCTCAGTGATGCCATGAAAAAGTTAGATAGTGATCTGGAAAAGTAATGTGCGAGCAATGGCGTCTCTGCACCACAGAATGAAACACATATTTTGTGCTTTTCCAAAATCTACGGCCGGAGTTTAGTGGTCTATATGTATAGGTGTGAAGGGTATTCCTTAGGAGGATATTTACGGTGTCTGTAGGTGAAGGTGCAAGAGTATCTCGTTCCTTGTTCTTCCCTCTAGAGTGTTTGAGGTGGGTGTGTGGGATTCTCAACGACTGGAGAGAGGATTTACTGTGGAAGAGACAATGTAGCTCTGATCTTGTTAAAGGTGATTATCCATGGCACATGAACCAGTTCAAATGGAAGTTTCTGTCAGAGTACATAACTCTGACCGAGAAGCTAACATTTCAAGTGGTCTCTTCCGCACGGTGCATCTTTCATGTTCTTGCATCTTCTTATGGCTAATATCCCTCTCTATATATATATTCAAGTAATGGAGATTGATATGTTTATACTGTGCTGGTATCTTCTTTGTAATGAACTGTGCTACTTGATCACAGATGCATTTGAATAAGAAAAACTTTGGTTGCTTGTATCACAGAACAGTCAAATGGAGCGTATGCTGATGGGTTTAGCTATGGGAAGACAGGGTACCCGGCCAAGCACCCGGAGCTGCATAATCAAGAAATCGAGAATTCGGTAAGATGTTGTATGGAGCACGGGATTTGCTCTCATGAGGTTCTCCAAGATGGTGGATCTGTCTGCCCTAATGGAAGCCGCAACAAACTAACGAGGAAGGTAATTTCTAGTTTAGTATTTTTGGGCATCCATCTATCGCAACATAGCAAATTATCATGACCTGTATCCTCCTTCCTTGTACTGTCACAGCTGGTGGATGGTAGTGAATAATTTCGGTTAGATTATTGTCGGGAAACGGTGAAAATTTATTCCTTCACCTCTCCTTTTTGCATGGGTTGTGTTACATTTTGAAACTGTTGCTACATGGCCACAGGCATCATTTAAACTGTCTTGGGGATGCAAGGGACAGACAAATGATCAGCACAAGCATGACATTGTTTCTTTCGAGAGAGGGAATATCACTACGGCAGAACGCAGCAGTAAACAGGTACGGGTTTTAACATTTCTTCTCTCATGTTTCTTCTAATCTCTAAAGTTGTGTAGCAGTTTTTTTCTGGACTAATTTTCGGTTCTAATTTCAGATTTCGTTGACATGGGAATCTGGCCCACAAACTGTGATTATTTTCACTAAGCCTAATTCAATTTCAGTCCGAATTCTTTGCGCACAAATGATCAGGTGTGTGTGTGTATATACGTACGTATTAATGCATCTTTTCTGAACTGTCTTGTGACAGTGGCTACGGTCTCGTTATATTGATAAGCCACTATTGTTTGATCTTTCCGACTTGAATAGTTTTGTGTCTGAACCATACATGTTGCTAAAGTTCTGTCTGAATTCTTCTTTCTTGTCTTTTAAGTTCTTCACTTTATATACCGAGTTCTTGCTTCAGATGAAGTAATTCAGAATTTTTTCTGTACCCAGATGGTTGAAAGAGCATAAAGGATTACAAATTTACGTGGAACCGCGTATCAGGAAAGAACTTTTATCGGAATCCAACTCCTTCAACTTCGTTAAAACTTGGGAAGATGGTAAGCAATAAGTCCCGGTTTGGTTTCCTAATAGCAATTGATACCCTCTTCACGCGAGTTTCACGACAGGTTTTAGATCTGATTCTTCATCCTTTTTTCGATTCCATCACTCGTTATGCAGACAAGGAGATTTCACTTCTACACACAAAGGTCGACCTTGTCATAACCCTCGGTGGTGATGGTACCGTGCTCTGGGTAATACGCCTATTTCGATCTTCGGAAACCCTCAGCTGTGTAGTTCGGATATATCTCATCTAATTAACATTCAGTCCGTACCATTTCATTTCGATATTACATACTTATAGACCTTCTAATTGAGGTAAAATGGTGGAATATTGTCATCGGTTACAGGCAGCATCGATGTTCAAGGGACCCGTGCCTCCGATTGTTCCATTCGCTATGGGATCTCTAGGGTTTATGACCCCATTTCGTATCCTTCTTACATTGTCTCGAAAATGATAACATTGTTAGAACGACGTCTTTCGCGTTATAATCATCAATGCATCATCGATCTCTGTTCCCGGGATTGTTGTTTTTAACTTTGAGATGCAGACAGCGAACATTACCGAGAATGCCTTGAAGCGGTTCTGAGGGGTCCTATCAGTATAACGTTGCGACACCGCCTGCAGTGCCATATCGTCAGAGATAAAGCCAGGCATGAGTACGAGACCGAAGAGCAAATGCTCGTACTGAACGAGGTTACGATAGACCGAGGGATATCTTCCTACCTCACGAACCTCGAATGCTATTGCGACAACTCTTTTGTGACGTGTGTGCAAGGCGACGGGCTAATATTATCAACGACTTCTGGTAGCACTGCTTATTCACTCGCGGCCGGAGGCTCAATGGTCCATCCCCAGGTATGCTCTCTTCTATGATCTTCATTTTAACAAAGGAATCGTGTATATTTTCGTGAAAATCCCATAAGAAAACACTGAACTTTCAAAAATGTGACGTAAAAAAGTAAATTTGAACATAGTCAACAGGTTGATTTGGAAGCGAATTTACAAATTCATGATATTTTTGTGGAACTTATGCAAAACGTCTAAAAAACTTAAATTCCGGACCCTAACTCGGGTATTTCCCGATGCATCTGCAGGTTCCAGGCATCTTGTTCACGCCGATATGCCCGCATTCTCTGTCATTCAGGCCGCTGATATTACCCGAGCACGTGACGCTGAGAGTGCAAGTGCCTTTCAACAGCAGAAGCTCGGCTTGGGTATCGTTTGACGGGAAAGACCGGAAGCAGCTCGAGCCGGGGGATGCCCTTGTGTGCAGTATGGCCCCGTGGCCTGTCCCGACGGCTTGTCAGGTCGACTCTACAAACGATTTCCTACGTAGCATCCACGACGGCCTCCATTGGAACCTTAGGAAGACTCAGTCTTTCGATGGCCCTCGAGACACTTAGAACCTTTTTCTCTTGGCTTCTCTTTCTTTTAACCAGAATATAGTCGCAATATACATAAATCTTTATATGCATATATGTTGATGATGATGATGAAGAAAATATATCACGAAATGTCATAATGGCAGTTTATGTATTCTGTTACAAGACAGCTCTTGGTGAACTAAGAACGGTTTCTGATATCTCGAAGGGGCATTCTTGAACGTGAAGAAGTCTCTGTTCTTGTTCTTCTTCTTCCTCCTCCGTCTCCTCCTGCTCTATGAATCGATTCGTATTTGGACCGATTATCGTCGTAGTCGGTATGTCGGTTTTCCTTCAATCGACAAATCAAAACCCTCTTCTCTGTTTCAGACGGCAATCTATCGATCTCTATTCCTGAGGTGCTGTGATCTCTCCTCGTTCTTTCGAGCTCACCACGTAAAGATCGAACCTCTTCTTCGAGACATTTCGCCTTTGCCTCGGAACAGGTCGCCCTTTTCCTCCATTCTTGAGCCTGAAAACGTTCCGAAATGTTACATAGTTTTGAAAGCAAATGTATGTAAGCCTGGGATTGGGATAAAAGCATCGAGGATACTAACCGTGGAACGTAGTTTTTGAATCTGAGAGTCGGAAACGAGGGCACGATCTTGCCAGAAATCTCGAGAAGCCTGAAGTTCGTCCATCATTTCTCGCACTTGTCCTAACATCTCTTGCATCTGAGACCATTGCTCTGCCTCGGCCCTTATTTCCTCCGCGATCCTCCTCACGATTGCTTGGCAATGTCTCGAACATCCTTTATTATCTCCCTCCTGTCACCATTCATTCATGAACATTAACTCTTAAAACCTTTTCTAGATCATGTTTTGGTTAACAGTCATGATTCATGTTTCAAGAATCAGAACTTGTCGGAATCAAGAGAATGGAGCCAATATATCACACTCAAGAAAGCAAAGAGAGAGAGAGAGAGAGAGAGAGAGAGAGAAAGAGAGAGAGAGGGAAGCTAACATTGACGTTAATGGTTGGAAGAAAATGGTGGTCAACTGGAGGAGTGGGATGAACAGAGAAGCTCGCTTCTGCCATTTCCCGAATCTCTTTTACGCACATCTCTTCCGAAACCTCGTCGAGTTTCTCCAGTCTTCTCCTCAAAACAGAAGCTTGTTCATCGAAATTATGTCTGCAGGCTCTACCCTCCATCGTCTCCTTAATCTTTGGGGGTTTCGATAACTCGTGCAGTTTCCCAACTAGGTAGTTTATCTCCTGCTCCAGAACCTTGTTCGCATTCTTCCCTTCTGAAATTTCCTGCTTTCCCTATCATTAGAACCCAACAAAACAGATTTAGAAAGCCATCAACTTCACTTTTTCTTCCCTTTTCTTGCAAAGTTTCAGTTTTCTCGAGAAACAAACAGACCCCGGCACGGATTGAAAGAGAAAGAAAAGGATAAACTTTTCAAAGTTGGTCCTGAAGATGCTCCTGAAAGTAAACCATAAAGACAGAGAAAGAACACAGTTCCACCCATCTGAACTCCCTTTCTTCAAATTTTCTTGGGAAACAAACAGACCCGACCCGAGCATGGATTGAAAGAAAACGAAAAGAAACAACTTTATAAAGTGGATCCTGAAGATTCTTTTGAGCCTGAAGGTGAACCATAAAGCCAAAGGATACCCAGCTCGACCCAATTGAATTCCGTTTCTTTCTTCAGATTTTCTCGGGAAACAAACACAGAAAACAAAAGGAATACTTACGAAGAGAAGACTATGAACAGCCCATCTCAGCGTCTTCTCCATCTTCTCCCTCCTCCTCTCCATCTTCTTCACCGCAATCTCCTTCTCCATCCTCAGCAAATTACACTCTGCTCTCAACATCTCCGCCTGAAACCTCCACTTAGCCGCCTCCGCCTCCGCCGCTGGAAACCCACCACCCCTTGCCCTCCCCTCCGGCGCATCATTCACCACAACGATCGCCGGCGGAGGTCTCCTGCGATCAAACGACCTCTCCTGCTCGAACAGAACCTCCAGTCTCTGTCGCTCATCCTTCTGAGACGAGGGTAACGGCGTCTTCGTCTTTGGAGAATTTTGACGAACAGTAAACCGACGTGGAAGATGAAGGATCCTCGGCGTCGACGGCACTGCTTGCCATTTCAGCTTCCTCGTCGCCGTCGTGTGGATTCTCTCCATTGAAACCGAAGAATTTAAAAGCGGAAGCTTCTGCTCGGAATCGCTCTTGTCTTTGTCGCTTCTGGCGATTGTCGGAGGAAAAAAAAAACAGAGAGTTGGTTCTTTTTGGGTTTTTGATGGAAGGATTTTGAAAATAATTCCAAGTTACCGTTGAAACGAGAATTTTTTCGGAGACAGAGCAAAGAGACAACCTTGGAGACTTCGAGCGCCTCATCACACATCGTCCGTGTCATCTGTTTTATTTATTATTTTTAAAATTCGAATTTTTTTTTATGGATAATTCGATATTCCATTCCATATAAATTCGGTTGGAGTCTACTTGGATTATAAGAAACCGATTAATATTAAAATTTGCATTATTTTTGTTCTTAATTTACGAAGTAAATATACACACGAAAATCATATCTTTATTTATTGGGCAATACACAAGTACTCAAGTATTCTAAAAACCAAAAACCTCGAAAGATTCATCATGGATATATATTATTATTATCTAGAGAGAGTGTAGGTCAAAATAATAAATTATTATTTTGAGCTAATTGTATAGGGGAGCAAAAATTATAGAATAAAGAGGGTGTTTATTCATATTAAATTAAATTCGCCGAAAAAAAAAGTCCAATCATATATCGTCGTGATATTTATAATTGTACTTGTACATGCATGATCGTTACACGTGAAATCATTGAAATTAATTAAGAATGCTAATTATGCTTGTGAAAAAAAAGCGATATAATTAAAATAAAATAAAAAAAAATTGAGCCTGATTTTACGATCATTAGGGTTTGCTTTTAGAGTTGCGACCTGCGGCTCAAAGTAAACTTCTGCACCAATCGATACATAGAAAGAGAAGCCTCGTGAAGGGGAGCCATTTTTTTTTTCAAATTCATTTCGTGATTAATTCGCCCTTCAATTTCATTATTTTACCATTTTGCCCTATAAACTTTCTATAAAAAAAAAAAGAGGAAAAGATATAAAAAAACATTCAATAAAAAATGGTAAGATTGAAATTTCATAAAATTTCATCTTTATAAACATCTATAATTTTTTATTATTTTTCTTGCTTTCAGTTCAATTAAAAATATATTTATGATATTGATTTATCATTATAAAAGCATTTTTTAATTAGATTTGAAATAGATAGATTATTCAATGTAATAATAGTCTTCTAGCGTATACTCATAAAAGATTATGATTTATCCAGTTTTATAAATAATTGAAATTTTAATTTGTTAAAAGAAAAAACGTTCGAGAGTATTCAATTAAAAATATATTTCTGCAACACCGCTCTCTTTTTGTGGAGAGTATTCTTAATAATTTAGTAAAAGTAGAATTAATTAAAACATAATTAACATGAACAATTGGGCATAACTTAGTTTCTCATGAAATATAGCAATTGAATCTAAATTATAATTTATGGGATCTGTTTATTAACTAAAACAAGTGGAATTTATTATTTTATTTACACAAAAAGTTATTGGGTGCGAGACAGGACATGGAATTTTCTACTTCCCGACTTCACAAGCGCAAAGACCACCGGTTCTTGTAGGAGGTGATAGAAAATGACACGTGGCGGCAACCCATTTGTCCTAAAATCGTGTGTGGATAAGGAAATGGATCATAGCCCTAAAAAGTCCAACCTGTTTTCGCATTCCCACAAATTAATCTCTTAAAGAAACAACACAATCACCAACGAGAGAGAGAGAGATCTCAGACGTGGAACGCAAGCAACAATGGCGTCGATGACGATGACTACCGCCTCATGCCTTCCCTCCGTAGCCGTGAAGCCACCGTCCGCCATCTCCGGACGTCGCAGATTCACGGTGGTGAGAGCCTCAACGGCCGGCGAAAACACGACCGCTGGATTCACGACGGCGAAGCAAGAACAGAGCAAGACGATGAGGAGGGACATCGTGTTCGGGGCGGCTGCTGCTGCTGCGGCGACCATGGCCAAGGCGGCCATGGCGGAGAACGGTGAGCCGAAGCGAGGAACAGAAGAAGCCAAGAAGAAGTATTCACCTATCTGTGTCACCATGCCCACTGCAAGAATCTGCCATAAGTGAGAGCTTTGTGGTTCGTACACAGCTTAAGTTGTTAGCCATTTTTATGTCTCTCCCTGTTCTCGGAGTTTCAGTTCGGTCTCTGTCCTTTGTTCTGTAATGATATAATCGATCAATTCACCAAACCCTCTTCTCTCTATTCATCGTACTCTCCCTATAAACTTCTATCCCATGATTGGATGAAACTTTCATCTAATTAGGCCTGAAAACTAATTGTATATCCGAAATTTTCAAGGTGTAATTTCATCTCACTTGAAGTTTTCAATAATTTATGGCTATGATGACATATCCAGGTGTTTCGTGATCTTCCATTGACAACAATGTATACAGAGTTTCAGACATGAACAAGCTAACAAGATGAACAAAAAGATACGGTTTTTTCCTCTGTGACCAAACATGGGAAAGAGGTAACTCTTTCTCGTAACTCAGCCGGAAAAAATTCTAATTCCGGTGGTGATGAAACATCATCATCGTACCTGTTCTGTGACGAGAGTCCTGAAAACTAAATGTTGATCCTCCGACCCGCGTTTTTACTCGATACCATCCATCCATCGGCTTTGTTCATCCGATACATGAAGTAATGGCAAAGCCAAAGTTTCCCGACCCGACGGACTGTTAGAGTCCCACATCGGAAATAGGTGGGAACAATTGAGTCAATATAATACCTTAGGGTGAGTTCTACCCATGGGCTTTGAGACTTTGTTGGGTCCATTATTAATGAGTGAGTGCTATCAATTGGTATCAGAGCCAACCGATCCTCGGACATGCAGACGACGCGGCGGGAGAGAAACGGTCGGGAGAAGAGCACAAAAGTGCGTAGCCGCTAGCGCCATGGTCGTCGCTGTCTAAAGGGGTGGTATTGTTAGAGTCCCACATCGAAAATATGTGGGAACAATTGAGTCAATATAATACCATGGGTACCCTCCCCCAATAAGCTAGCTTTTGGTATCAGGTTTGTTAGAATATTAATTGGAAATAGATAGAAAATACCGATTGTATTCCCAAACAGAGAGAAATACAACCTTTAACCAAGAGGCATACCCTCTCTTCCCATACAAAAGATTCAAGTTCTCAGATACCCTCTTCTCAAATGAAAAACGTAAATATATAAGGGCTCACCCAGCTAACAGAATTGCTGAGGTGACACCTGCAACAACCTAAAAGCATGCACGCACATAACATAACGTCCTCTGCATTTATTCTCTGCAAGGAATGTTCCTCTACTGCTGCTCCTTTGCTGCTCCGAGCTCCTTTTCTAATATCGAATCAGGCCCCACCATCTCTCCTTCATTGTTTCTTTCACCTCTGCTTCCTTCTTCTTCCTTGTATAACCCGGAAAAGCCTTATCACAGACCTTCTACTGCTCCATCCGGCCAGTTTCATCGTCTTCTTCATCCACTTCTTGTTCTACGCCTTTCACCTGCGTTTGGACAATGCTTCTCGAGTTCTTACACCAAACAAAATCATCGATATGTAATAAAGATATCACTTTTACCTCGGATACGTAATGCATCAACATATTCTCGATTCCTGATTTCAGAGTAACAGATGAACTTGGACAACCGCTACAAGCTCCTTGCATCCGGAGTTTAACTATACCAGTTCCCCTGATCCAAACACCGAAGACCGAATCACTTTTAATAGTTAAAAAAACAAGTGAATTTCTTGATGGGCATTGCCAGAAGAACCCAAAGAAGTGAAACTTACGGATCAAATCCACGATACTCGATGTCTCCACCATCGTCTTGGACAGCTGGTCGAATCCGGGTCTCTAACAGTTCCTTGATCATTGCTACAGTCTCTGAATCATCCTGAATTCAAAACATTAGGTTTTTGTACAAGGAGGCAGGATATCTAACTGAATCACAGGAAACAGATGTCCACCAAAGCTCAACTTGATATTCATTGTCAGGTTCGATGATGCTTTCCTCACAGAACTCGGAACATGATAATCTAAGTTTCTCGTTGCTGTAACTGGAATATGAATTCATAGACAGACTGAATCTAGTGGTCTAGGAAAGTAGACCACAACCTGAAAGAAACTCTTAGGAGCAAAACCCTTGTGGAAACTAACTTTTGGACAAAAGTAAAAATGATAAGAAGCTGTAAAGAGTTGTAATATTGCATGATTTACCTCGTGAATGGCGGTATCCTTTGCTGTGACAGCTTCCGCATCGAGAAACAAAGGCTGGCCTGAAGAGTAGAAATCCATTATCGCCGCAAAAATTTCAGGCTTGAGGGCATCCCACGATAAATCGTCCGACTTTGTTACAGTGACAAAATCTGACCCAAAGAAAACTCGAACTACACCTGAACCGAAAGAAAAATAGCTCAGTTTTCGAAGAAGTGAATGAAATTCAAGATCAGAGTACCAGCAAAAATGGGAAACCATGAACAGGTGCAATTCAATTGTTAGTGAAACCTAAAACGACGGTTATAAAAAATGAGGGAAAAATATGTTGTCTAAGTAGAGATAAAAGATCACTGCTATGTTCTGTTGAGGTCAAATGTACATATAAGGCTGACTATTATTCTTCTCGTGTCTCTTTAATCTGCAATGTAATATGACTCCCACATAATTTAACCAATAAAAAGGAATTCAATGCAAACGGTTTTCAGACGATGACCTATGAAAAAGGAACAAACATATGTCAGATATTCATGACGGGAACAACAGTAACAGATAACTGACAAGGTATATGCATAAGTAGCTCTGAAGAATCATGCTTTGTCCTGCAGAATTTAAGATTGTCAAGATGCCAATTCCCTCTATAATGCACCACGAATATTATTTTCGCTTTAGTTACACTGTGCATTAACAGAAAACATTATACAGATTCCACTATTTTCATGTTAAAAAATAAAAATGATTTGTTTCCTTTAAGTCATGGCAGGAGAATGCATTCAACAAAAGAAACTATCATCACCGTCTCGATAGACCTCATCGCATAAGAACAAATGGGGCAAGGAAGTATACCATCAGTTGCAAAAATGGCTTTAGCCAAAGGAGAACCCATAGCTGAACGAGCATTAGGGAAATCTGCGCTTCCGACCTCCATGACCGGTTTACCAGGATGAAACATTAGAGAAGAAGGATTGGGTGTTGATTGTGTTTGGATAAACATCGTTCTCCTCTGCCCTGCTGAAACAACCACCAACTCAGTTAACCAGATCCTAGAGCTGTGGTGGCTTTGGTATCCAATTTTCTAATAGGAACATGACCAATTCCAGAATTCAAATAGCTATAAAACAGAAATTATAAAAGAAAAAGCACATCAAATGACACATTGGAGCAACTCATTTGTAATATATATAAAAAAGGAATCAAATTTCCAATCTTCTAATTGTGTCTCTCTCTTAAAGCAGTGGATATTGACGACAAATGCAAAGTTTAAGGATCAGAACAGCCTTACCTCCCAAGCAGGCCCATTTCCCAATAAGGATAGGAGATCTTGATCTTGAAGATGTAGGAGTATTTGTCGGCAAATGGGCTGCTGCCGAGATGAAAAGCAGTCGCTGAGATGCCAGTGAAGAAGAAGATGTCGATCTGTAACAAACAATCTCGCCAGCTCCACACCGCGAAACAGAAGTTAGAAGCCTCACAATCCCTTTCATGGCAGACGCTGTAACCTATCTATCTATCAATCTCCTCCCAACAGCAATCTCTCTTACCTTCCTCGCCGTGTATGCCTGTGTTTCAACCATGAAACAGACCACAGTTGAGATTTCTGTAAATGGGTGGTTATGTCTAAGGGTGGGCAATTATTGGATGCTTATGATTTCCCAGATATCCATGTCTAATCTCGAAAAAGAAAGCAACAAAAAAGCAACAAAAAGATCACTACAATACAGAACAAGACTTTGTGCACTCTCTTAAACATAAAACACAGATCTAAAAGAAGTGCCAATGCTACATTCAAAAGCAAACCGTTCAATAGAGAGAAATTGACCATGAAACACCGAACTAACTCTTTCAGAACATATCATTTGATCCTTTCATACGCAAGAAACGACACTGCGATTGATGCCCATCTCGACTTAATTGCAAAGGAATTTCCTATCCACGAAACGGTTTTAAAAACACATCTGGCCTATCTAGTATTCCCATCTGTTAATTCGTCACCAAATCCATAAGAAAAGATATTCACTTGCACAGCTAGAGTGATGGGGGCCAAATCTGTAGAAAACCATAGATATCAAAGCAATTTTTGAAGAATAACTCATATTCCCACTCATACAAACAACTAATGCACAACAAAAGATTTCAGAAATCACCATACACAATCGATATCCATTGGAAATTGCTATAAAACTCGACAAAGCTATCAAACATCTATAAAATTAACATGAATCATGACGTAATCTTCCCAGCTCTTTGAGCTGATGAGGACTTTGTATCAGCCAAAGGGAAACACAGGAAACAACAGCTCTGTTCGGAACAACAAAAACAGTAAACCCACAAGCCTAAACCTCAAAGCTCTGGTTCTAAAATTCGAAAGTTCACAACTTTGTTTCACCAGATATGGCAAGAGAACAGATGAAATTGATTTAGGACAACAAAATGGCGTAAAAAAGGGGCACCATTTCGAAAATATTCACAAGTGGGTAACCAATTTCAGCAATTGGATTTGCTCACTTCACCTTGCCCTAATACCAAAAGCAACATCCAAGGCATAAACCCATGTAATTCATAGACACACGCGGAGAAGAACAAAAAATCTTACCCAGAAATTGACTCGATGATCGGAGAAAGCAAGACACCGCGAAAGCCCGGTGATGGCCCTGGAGAATCCGACAGTGAAACTCTGCCTATGGAGCAAGACGGAAAACCCGGCGAAAAGTTCTTCAACAAAGAAACTGAGTCGAGAACGAGAATTCGGTGTGTGAATCGGTTTCTTTCGCATAAAAAACAGTTTCGTCGTCGTTCGTTTGGTCTCAATCGATTGGTCCTAAAATCGATTGGTTAAACCGGTTCCGGTTTAAACCGGTCAGGTTTTAGGCATCAGAGAATTGATACTGGATAGGAAATGAAAAACTCATCTTCTCCGGTATGAATCGGTTAAATTATTTTAAAATTGACAAAACGGAATCAAACCAAAACCAAACCGGAAAATAAATTGATTAAAGAGGAACTTACAAAAATGACAGTTCTCGGAATTTGGTCATAAAATCTTGCATTTTTTTTGGAAGTTATTATATTTGACATGATTTTATGGTGAGGAACACGTAAATGTTATATTTCTCGAGTGAGGTTTCGTGGGGTGTGAGTGAATTTTCATCGGATTCGAGAGAACTAGAATTACTTTATTTGTTTTCCTTTAAAATATTGATTTATTTCACGATATTCTTGAATATAATCGAGACTAATTTAGTTAAGATTAAAATTAATTTTTACCAAAAAAAAGATTAAAATTAATTATTAAACTAAGAAAGAAAACTTTGATTGAGCAATATCAAGTCCTCATTCCGAGGTGAATTTTAGCTTTTTTTTAATTGTCTCGTTTTGTCTAATACCGGGCCATGCACACGTACGAAATCTTCCGGTGTTTATATAATATATATTATACATCAATCTGTGCGGTAATTGCTCTTAAGAAATTAAATTTCCGTGGTTAGGTTTTGATTATTATTATTATTATTATAGACTTTTTTTAAGTTCTCCAAAATAACCATTTTTTACTTATAAACTCATCTTTTCAGAAGTGTTTTTTTTTATAAAATAATAATAACTAAGTGCAAATAAAATCTGGATGTAGTGTTGAAATAGGAAAATGAATATGTGATTGAAGGAAATATTGATTTTAAGATATGATTAGAAATAATAATGGATATAATATTATATCAAATATTGTGTATCGATTTTATTTATTTCTATTTCTTTTTTATTTCGTCTTATAGTTTTCCTATAAATATTTGAGTCATTTTCATTGTAATTCAACCAGAAGAAAAAGAGATGTAGCAATAAAAGTAATTATGTTCCTTTCTATTGTCTTATTTTATTTCCGTATTTTATTTTTTTACATGGTATCAGAGTCTGGTTCGATCTGCTCTATATCTTTTTTTTTTCAATCTCCTCTTTTTTTTAGTTTTGGATATTCATATATCCAAATGGTTCAAAGAAGAATAAAAACCCAAAATCAAACGAGGTGCTATGACAAAAAGAAGTCTAACATAAAAACTCTAAGATCAAGCGAGGTGCTATGACAAAAAGAGTTAAAGGTAGAACTTCAAAGTCAAGCGAATTGATTTGAAAATGGGTAATACTCTTTAAAAGAACTAAATTTGGTGTTTATGGATTTTTCAAAAGACAATGAAAATATCTATGGGTTTTTATCACATTATCTTTTCAAGATTGATTTTTGCATTTTTTCAAAATCAATCTTGAGGGGGAATGTTGAAATAGGAAAATGAATATGTGATTGAAGGAAATATTGATTTTAAGATATGATTAGAAATAATAATGGACATAATATTATATCAAATATTTATAGTTTTCCTATAAATATTTGAGTCATTTTCATTGTAATTCAACAAGAAGAAGAAGAGATGTAGTAATAAAAGTAATTATGTTCTTTTCTATTGTCTTATTTTATTTCCACATTTTATTTATCTACATGTAGATCGGATAGCCATTGAGATAGATGTAATAATACAAGCAATTAGTATTTTGCATTGATTTTATATTATTATTTTTTTCATTTTTGATTGAGTTTACTTATGAATAAGATCCATTATCTATAAGAGTTGTTACAAAGGTTTTGGATTTTATATAAAATATTTGAATTGCTGTATTACATGGTGGTCATGTAAAGATAAATTATATAAACAATCCCTTGAAATTTTCTGATAAATTATAATTATTAAAATCAATATTGTAACCATTAGTTGGTTTGGATAAATATTTTTATGTGATTGCAAATCCTTTAGTTTTTTTAAACATTATGATACTTTTTAGTAATAAAAAATTATATAATTTTGAATTAATAACGAGATTATATTTGATTTCGTTGGTTTAGAATTTCCGATTTAAATAACTTTTCTAAAACGAATAAATACCTTATTCTCATGGATATGGGCGACTATATACGTCATGATTTGGTCACATTAATTGAAGATATTAAAGCAATAACTGCAAAAAATGATGGAAAATAAAAATTATTAAATGATGAAGAGATTTCATAGCTACCTGCCCCTAAAAAATAAAGATAAACTACATCATACAAAAGAGGACGATGTAATAAAATGATTATAACTCAAATAAAAAAGGAGTTAATTACATATTTATATTAAGCAATAATTTTATGAGAGAGAGAAAAAAAATACAGTAAAGTGAAGTGCTTTGTTTTAATGATATGAGTGAAATGAAAAGCCGCACGAGTCACTTCATTGGATTCCCTTGTGAGTTGTGACACTCTGACATTATTATTTCTTTTTAAGTACAAAAAATAAAATAAACAAAGATTTATTTATTTATATTTGATTTATTTATATTTTACAGTACGAGTGGTTAATGACAGCAAGTTTGAATAAATAAGTATATATTGATAATATCTAGTTATTGACATTTTCGCGAGAGAATGTATAATAGACGGGTGTTATCATATGACCAGAATTATAATATAATCAAATAATGATCATAATGTTAAACAAATTTCTATAGTTACACATTATATATCATATTAATAATTTGATGAAACCATTATAAATTTAATATTATAGTCAATGTGAACACAAATGATCATAATGTTATTTAATGATCTATGATGGTTTATTTTAATTTTCGTGCTTAAAAAATGTATATATAATAAGATTAACGTAACGTAATTTGTTCAAAATTAATACTCTGTGTCCACCACACCCACAACCTAATGCGCCGAAATGTTATCATGAGCCATATGTCCCCCCACACAAAAGGGAATATATATATATATATATATATACATACATGTGTAAGTGTGTGTGGATAATAGTGCTGATTAGCAACGACAAGTTAACTAAACCCTAAAACAAAGTTGATAAAATTAGAAAAAAAAATGGTTATTAAAAATCTTGAGCTTTGACTTTTAAACGCATAACTAATTTGAAAATCGTAATTAAGTTCACATTTTCGCAAATGTGCGTAACATCACTCAGTCTCTCTATTTCACCAAGGCAATATAGAGGATTATATTTAGCTTAATCAAATTAACCGTACTTAAAATCGAAAATTAATTAAGTTAAACTCTAAAACAGCATGGACAAACAAATGACAAAATAATTAAAATCAACCAATTACAAAAGCACCCATATATCTTTCTAATCAAAATCCAATTACATGAAGATTTGGAATCTAAATGAGCAAAAGTCATTAGCAGGATGACATTAAAGATTAAAAAAAAGGAAAACATTAAAATAATACAAAAAGCTTTGTATTTAATTAGGGATAAATTAATTGAAATTATCCCAAAACGAACCCAAATGACAAAAAATAAACCAAAACCATCAAAAATCAAAAGATATAATATATATATATATAATACTTTAAACATTATTTGTATTTCAAACAAACTAAACTCAGATTCATCGAGATTCCAAGCTATAGAAATCAAACTTTGATCACCTGCTTGCGTGTTAACGCCATACCCTAAGAACACCAAAACCCTAATTGACTTGCTCTCCGCAAGCGAAGACGAAGAAGAGCTCTATGTCAGGGGGCGCATAGAAAGCGATAGGTCTCCGTCGCAACGAGCAATTCGGTACGGCCCTTCGCTTCTTCGGCGCCGGCGGACACGTCAGCATCTCCGGTATCCGAAACTTCCGAGCCTTCGGAGTGCGACACCCATCGCCGCCAGGTGACGGCGGAGAGTTATCGTCGGGATTTGTAAATGGGGAAGCAGACGTCGAAGAAAGGCAAGAACTCGTTGCTGTCGAAGAGGCTCGGCATGGAGACGTTTGTTCGAGAGATGCCGTGTTCTTGTGTTGTCGAAGCTGTTTCTTGACGTGGGTTCTTGGTTTTGGTTTCTTTCCCTTGTTTGGTTTTCTTGAAGATGCCATTTTAGAAGAAAAAGAAGAATAGGGTTTTGAAGCTAGGCTAGAGAGAGAGAGAGAGAGAGAGAGAGAGAGAGAGGGAGAGAGAGGACAAATGGGTCTAAATATGGAACGAGGGATAAACCTTAGTGGGAGGACATTAAAGTTCCTAAAACCTGACCGGAAAAATGTTTTTTTTTTCAGAGAGAAGAGAATAAAACTGAAAACCTAGGAGGAAAGATGGATAAACCTTTAGAAAGGAGAAAAAAAAAAGGGCTTTTTTTTTGGAGGATCACATCACAGATTCACAGCATCCAAATCATTCCAAAAATGGGTGATGTTTGGATTTTGTATAACCAGAAAAAAAAAATGAAAAGAAGAAGAAGAGAAGAAAAAGATCACCAGCGAAAATGAAGGCTACTTAGCAATGGAATCTCTAACCATTGATCTGTCAAGACAAAAAGAAATATTTTTTAGGGTTTTTGGAGGTTGAAGAAGAGAGAGAAATAAAAACAGATGAGAGAGAGAGAGAGAGAGAGAGAGAGAGAGAGAGAGAGAGAGATTTGAAGTTGTCATCTGGACGTGGAGAGAGGGCACCATACCCACTACAGGCCCCCCAAAGCAAAAGACAACCGACAAACTAATTGACCCTTTTCTCTTTTCAATTGTTTATTGTTGGTGATGACCATTTTTAATTATAAAAATTATTTTATTTCAAATATGAAAATTCAACATCTTTAATTTTTATGGATGTGATCAGCTTTCAAACCACCCTAATCTTATTCATATTTATATATATCAGTTGTGTTGATGACGTGATAATCTGCAAATAATATCTCATCTTTTAATTTAATCTAATAAAATTATGTAAAACCATTAGCTGTTAAATGTTACCCTTATATGACATATTGCATATGTGAACCTATATGTACGTGTGTATATATGTATATATATGTATGTACAAATATGTCATGTTTATAGTCCATTTTATACTCAATTTAGTTAGTTGACTAACGCCCGTTACAGAAATGGTACCAATGACGATGTTGGTTTTCAATTGTTATGGAATCTGATTTTTGCTACACTCCAAATTATATTTTACTTGGAAAAGTTGTATTTCGAGGGTTTGTTTCGCCCCAAATTATAAGTTTTTGCATACGAGTGAATCGGATTGAAGATTTGAAATTATCATGCAAAAAATCCGTATTTATTTGGATAACATGATACAAAAATTATACTTTATTGTTTATATAAAAAAATAAAAGATAATAATTCATTTAAATATTTACAGCGAATTACTTGTCAACAATGTAACGCCTTAATGATATAAGTCGAAAAAAAAAAATCAGGTATACATGTATGCATAAATATAATACTCTATGATATGTAGATAATCCCAAGATAGAGTATATGTATAATATAAGTAATGCAGACTTTGATGCATTATGAGATCACATGGGTTGACATGCATTGCATGTAAAATATCAACTGCTGGTTTTTCTTGAGATTCTCCAAACATTTTCCTCTGTTTTTATATTGTGCATAAAATAAAAAATACATGGAATTGTATTTAAAAAATGACAAGGAATTTAAAAAAAAGTTAGAAATTATAAATGAAAAAAAATAGGATTCACTGTACATTCACCTGAGTTGCATTGCATCTGGTCCTCATGACTATATACACAACAATACTATATATATATATATGTATATATATTTCTACTCATATGAAATATTGAGTTTTAACTACAAAATCCTGGCGATTTAATCACCGATTTATAAAATTCGATTTTTTTATTTTTATTTTGGTTGTGTGTGAGTTAAAAGGAAAAAAAAAATATAAATTGTTTATTTTTTTATATAGAAGGAAAGATTTTATTAAATGTTAGTGGTACTGTGACCATATCGAAAAAAATCATTTCAAGCACTATTTAACTATGAAATTCCTATAATATAGTGTTTCGATTACGGAAAACGATCATAAGATTCCCTGTTCCGCTTTCACAAAATTATAAATTAAAAAAAAAAACTCAATTTCTTGTCGCCATTTTGATTTCGTTTCCTTTTATTGAAACATTCTTTATTTATTATCGCGTAAATTAATATTTATGCTATTTTAATGATTACGGCGGCCAATTGGGCCGTCAAATCAATTAAATGGGCCTCGTTAACATCTCGAACACAGTTGATATATAAATCAGTAGGATTGGTTAAAATTCTTATAAATAGGGCATTTGGTTCCTCCATTTATACATATCGAGGAACCCAAATGGAGCGGGTGAATAACAGATCACTGCGTTGTCCCCTGACCACACACTCTATTAGAGTCGGTGTCGACTCCTCGGGAGTCAACGAGAGGTGTCCTAACATCGCAGTCAACTCAGCGGCATTGATGCGAGATGAGGTGACAACACGTATGACCGTTAAGATCTTCTTCCTGCTAAGGGCATCGGCCACTACGTTAGCCTTTCTCGGATGGTAGACTATCTCCATATCGTAATCTGCAATCAACTCCAACCATCTCCGCTGTCTCAGATTCAGTTCCTTCTGAGATATCACATAAGTTAAGCTCTTATGATCCGTGTTGAGCTTAACCTTCTCCCCGTACAGATATGATCTCCAGATCTTCAGCACGTGAACTACCGCCGCTAACTCCATATCATGTGCCAGGTAGTTCTCCTCGTGTTTCTTCAGCTGCCTCGACACGTAAGCGATCATGTGTCCCTCATGCATCATCATGCAACTGAATCCATACTTGGACGCGTCAGTGTATACCTCGTATAGCATTCCCGACCGTGGTAATGCCAGGATCGGCACTGATGTCAATCTCCGCTTCAACTCCCCGAAGCTCTCATCGCATTCTGCCGTCCATTCGAACCTGACGTTCTTCCCTGTCAGCTTTGTCAAAGGTCGAACTATCTTGGTGAATCCCTCGACGAATCGTCAGTAATAGCCGGCTAGTCCCAAGAAGCTCCTGACTTCCGTCGCAGAAGTCGGGGACTACCACTCCATGACGACCTCGATCTTGGCCGGATTGACCTGAATGCCCTAGGTCGATACCACGTGTCCCAGAAATCCAATCTCCTGCAACCATAAGCTACACTTACTGAACTTCGCGTACAACCGATTCTCTCTCAGCCTCTACATTATCTTCCGCAGATGCTCCTCATGTGTCTGCGGGTCCGGCGAATAGATGAAGAGGTCGTCGATGAAGATGATGACAAACTCATCTAGGTAGTCCATGAACACGTGGTTCATCTATTGCATAAACACCGCAAACGCATTCGTGAGCCTGAAAGGCATGACCAGAAAATCGAAGTGTCCATATCTCGTACGGAATGTCGTCTTCTTGTTGGGGTTTCTACGGATTCCTAGCATGCGATCTCATCGATCTAGGGTTTGGTTTCTAGGTTTCATGCAGCGGAAGAAAAAGATCTAAACCTAGCCAAACGTCACACAAAACCAATTGTGCAATAATCCGAAAGAACATTTATATCATCGTGAGATTTGAATACTTACCTCGTTCTATCAAGATCTGGAAGTATCAATCGATCTAGGGTCTGTTTTAATCACCAAGAGTTGAAAGTACAACTCCTCTACACGTATCCACACCGGCGGGATGAATTCCAACACTTTGGAACGTATCTGCTAGAATTTGTGAAAAGAAAACGACGTCCTAGACTTGGAATCGATATTCCAGGGTTTAGAACTCAAGAGAAAACTTTTCCAAATCTCTAGAATGTGTCTAGGACGTGTTAGGTTGATTACCTAGGGTTTGTGGCGGCTCCCATAATTAATAGGATTGCCTAAACCCTAAAAACGCGAAAAAGGAAATTTTCCTGAAAGTCGGACCGTCCGGTCTAGGTCTGGACCGGACGGTCTGACCCCTACGTGGAACGGACGGACTGACACGGCTTGACTGTCCGGTCTAGGTCTGGACCGGATGGTCTGGCCATCTAGAACCCTTCCAACTCGTTCCGTCGTTCCTTCTCGCGTCGTTCTCTTCACGTGTGATCCATCCCTAATGGTGTGTGACCCTGTAGGCCCATTCGAAGTGGTAGTGGCTTCGGAAACCCTTTTCCGAACCACAAGTCATGGTTAGCCTCTAGCAAGACGTCATGACCATCCACCTAGAATAGAGTTAGAGGTGATCTAACAAAGCCAACAATAGCTCGAGTTCTGATCCTTTGTTTCACGATGTCATATGTTGAACAAGGGCATGGTATGAGCCACCCTTCAAGTTCAACCGCTTACTCGTCTTGGCAAATCGTCTGATAAAATAGATGTAACTTCATCTATAGCGTGGTCACACGTTTTTCACAGTCCGATTTCCACGAGGGGCCCAACGACATCTCTCCTGCTAAGGAGGTGACAAGTCCCGTATTGCATATCTATACTATCTACATATGATTCGTGAACGTATCTGAGCAACGCCATTATGATCATCCGGTTAAAGACGACGTTTGACGCAGCCAAGACACGCCACTCCTCATATCAGATACTCTAGACATCTCAAGTCTGAGGATCCAAGAACGAACCGTTGTTTGAGATTCAAGTCATGACTCATATCCATATGATAATCTCATGCGGGTCATCCAGTCACTCGTTCCAAACGAGTACTCATGATTGTGATTTGAATCCAATGCATATGATCACCATCATCAATCACACATCATGTTGGTCTTTATTCATCATTGTTCCCACAATGAAAACTGACCAGAGAGTTTAGAATCATCTGCAATGATTCAAGGGTATCTACCGAAATATAACAAACATGCAAATCATATAACGGGAAAAGTAATGCATTCATAAACCAATGAATCAATACATAGTCAAAATGTCATATCACGGATCATCGTAGAGCTTTACAACCAACACTTCTGTACGTCATCCTCCTTGACCCGAATCTGATGATATCCGGATCGTAGATCGATCTTCGAAAACCACTAGGCTCCCAACAACTCATCAATCCTTGGTAACGGGTACCAATTCTTGATAGTCACCTGGTTAAGCCCTCAGTAATCGATGCACAAATGCATACTCCCGTCCTTCGTCTTCATGAAGAGTACCGGTGCTTCCCACGATGAGATGCTAGGGCAGATGAAACCCTGCTCCACCAACTCGTTCAACTTTTTCTTCAGTTCGACCATTTCTATAGGTGCCATCCGATACGGAGCTTTGGAAATCGGCTCGGTACGTGTAACACGTCTATGCTGAAGTCAACCCCCAACTAGGTGGTAACCCCGGAACATCATCGGGAAACACATCAGAAAACTCTCGGGCAACAGGTGTATCCTCCAGTCTCCTCTCTGATTCCTGTGTAGCTGTGATAACTACCAGGAAAGCTTCGTTGCCCTTTCTGATCATCTTCCCGGCTTTCAGTGCCAAGATGATCAGGTCCGCTGCCGGCGTTCCTCTACCTCAGAACTTGAATCCTCCGAATTCGTCTATAAACTAGATTGCTCTCTTGGGACAATCGATGTAGACTTGGTACCTCATCAACTAATCCATGCTCAGAATGATA